TTCTATTGTTACATAAATTCTTCCTCTTTGAAACTTTTTCCATATTTTGGTTTCTATCTACATAACACTCAAACCTGGGAGAGGATTAATTCCTGATGTTTCCTGCTGAGATTCTGTATCTGTACATCTATAGAAAAGGCTAATGTGTTTTCTGGAATAACAGGTTTTTAAGGTTTTGATGAAAATGGGACACGGTTTCTTTAACAATAAGAGAAACTGCTAAAAAATTAGGAGCATAAATTTAGAGCCATGAGATGATTAAACGTTGGTTCTTACTGCTGAAGAGCAGCTACTTTCTAATTTATGACGACCAGCTTGTCTGATGTTAAACTGCAGCTGCTGTGAAACAAGCTGAACTAAAAATGAACCTCCTGCAGGGGCGGATTTAGGAAATTTGGGGCCCTAGGCAACTGCCTAGTATTGGCTGGGTGGTTTAAGCCGTTTTTAGTTTATCTTTATTTGTGTCCTGTTTTGTCGTTTCTAATATATTTTGAAGGCAGCTATTTTTTTTATATCTTATCCCTAATATTCTATAATTCTTTGTTTTGTATTTTCTGACCTACATCTGTCCCATGAAGCTTCTTTCAAACTGCTTTATTTTGTTTATCTCATCTGTGCTTTTTCTTTTTCACTGGTTCGTCGACTTTTTTACTTTATATTTTTTTTATCAGTTTCTAAACGTCTGCATTCACGTCATGATGGTTAGTCGATCTTTGTGTTTCTGGAAACCCTAACTTTTGTTTAGTTTGGACCATTTGTTATTTAGTAGTGTTAGCAGACTTACCCAAGATCAACCTGGAGATGAAAGAAGAAAACTGTGGGATTCTTGTTTTTAAATTATTATTTTTTTATAATTAGCATAGCTAAAGAAACAAGCCTCACTATTAATTAGCAGCTTTCAAATGTATTCCTTGCAGTGTGGGAGCATGCATTGAGCCAATAGAGCCAAATGCTGCATTGGTGCGCGTGTCGTTTCTAGAAAGTCATGTGACCAATACAGGAGTTATTTAAAACTTACTGACGCATTAAACTGTGTTTAAAATCGTATCTGTCAACATAATACATCTGCTAAAAAAAATGTCTCATCTTTTGAAGTTTATCATTAAAAGGATCCAGAATTTTGGAGCCTAAAATGAAAAGGACCGTTTCAGCCGTTGCGTTTTTATTTTAATTTTCTTGTTGTGTCATTCTTTTCCTCTCAGTTATTACTCATCTTATCTTTAAAGTTAATATCTAATTTACTCTTGTTTTTTTTTTTTTATATGATTTAAAATCCTAGTCCAGCAGCATCCTCATTCACATTTTCCCCTAAAGTTTCATGTTATGATATTTGTTTACATTTTTTATTGGTTGCATCTAAAAAAACAAAGATATTTTCAATTTAAACACAGATATTGAATAATAAAATATAACCTATAATAACGTAAATAATATCATTGTATTAGGTCATCAAATCAATTCAGTTCAGTCTGTCGAATAAGTTGCCTGTAGTGCCTTTAAATGTCCAGCAGGTGTCAGTATTCTGTGAGACAGTATCAACGCAGAATCATAAAGTTTGGCTACAAGATGCATCATTAACCATTACTAGTTAACTATAGTTAACTAGTAATAGGAGATGGACTTCATGTCAGTCCGTTTCTGCCATTTTCTGAGTTCTGCTGGTTCCTTCTCCAGGCGGAGGGAGGGGTAAAAGCTGGGGCGGTGGCCAAGGTGGTGGCCGCCGTCGACCTGGCTCGTATCCGTCGCCCCGTGCATGTGGAGGGCGGCCGAGCTGAAGAGTTGGAGGCTGTAGAGGCAGAAATGAGGCAGCAGGCGGTCGCCGTGGCTGCAGATCAACACTATCAGATGGGGTGGATGTCAACCGGAGCGCAGGCTGGTCAAATGCTCACTGCTGCTCAGGAGTCCCACCTGCTCGTAAGGAAAAGATCAACCAGAGATTGACCTAAATAAATTAATTCGTAAACAATGTGATACGGAACAATAAGCTGAGCTACGACAGACGGTAACGCTGATGTGTTGATCGCTTCAGATTCAGAGAGGAACAGAAATGGGCTCCGGGGTGGACACTGGACTCGCTCCATCTCCAGTTCCACAGTTCATGGTTTCTAAAGTTTCTGTCCCCAAACCAGAGTCTGTTGGGGAGGTAAGAGAGGCAGCATCAGGCAAGCAGTAGGACACTTAAACACATTGGTCACAACCATAACTGAAAGGTGGATCATTCAAATTCAGAAGAGTTAGTTGGTTCAGATTTGAATTCTTATCCTGGTTCTTTGGGGAAGATCCAGGTAGTTTCGACCTGAACACTTTATGCTTCAGTCAACGTTTTAGGAAACAGGTGTTGGTTTCCCTCTAAAGCAGGGGTGGGCAGTTCCATATCCTGAGGGCCGGTATTCTGCAACGTTTAGATCCATCCTTGGTCCAACATATCTGAATCAAATGGCTGAGTTACCTCCTCAGCATGCAGTCCGTTCCTCCAGAGTCCTCTCCATCATCTAATTACTTGATTCATGTGTATCGACACAAAGGCACATATAAAAGTTGCAGGATACCGGCCCTTAGGAGCTGGAATTGCCCACCCCTGCTTTTCTCCCCCCATCCCTGTATGGTGAGGCAGACTAAAATAGACCAGGCAAACTTAGTGCCCTGAAACCATGTTGACAGGCGTTTGGTTATTACTGCTTGCCTGAGATGCAAACCTGTTTTTAAGCTGGTTCTAGAGGTGTCTTTAACCAACGAGACCTCCGTTAACCTTCTCCTTCATTCTGCTCCTCCCCTAATTCATTAATCGGAGACCAGATTTCCTTTTTACCCATAATTAATTCTGCTTTACCTAAAACTCCCCTGATTTTATTCGGTTGTTGCTCTAATCAAACTAACGTCCCAAATTGTGCTGTGTGAACAGGTCTTTATGCAGTAATTTCAATGAAGTTTAAAAACAATCCACTTTGTTTCCAAGTTTGAAGACATTTCTCTTCCATCCAGGAAGCTTTTTCAATTCCAAATATCAGAAATAGCGTTGAGTTCCAGGCTTTATAGAGAGAACCAACAAAGCCTTTAGAAAACATGCAAATAGAAACAGATGAACGGGTCCACCCCTTTGGAATGGGGGTCGTTTGGCTTCTTTGTTAGCCTGCAATGCCCCATACCTGACTATGTCTCTGAAAAGGGAGTCGTTAAAGGGAATTGTTGGTCTGGCTGAACAGATGAGGTCTTCTGTACCCTGTAAAGGGATTGGGGCTGCGATAATAGAAGAAAGGAATCAACTCAATCGCTGCGTTGTAACATAGATGCTTCCTTCCTATTAAACCACCTGTCTGCTTTGTCCAAAATGTGAACATTCTAGTCCTCCAAAGAATGTCCTTTGTCCATAAGGTGTAGGTGTACCGCAGAGTCTTGTCCAGAGGAGGGCACTCTTCTGTTTTGGGCCATGCATCTGTAGAGAGGTTGTTTGGTTTCTCCAATATAAAGATCAGAGCATTCCTCACTGCATTGAACTGCAGACACCACTCTGCTCAGATTGGATCTGGGGTTTTGTCTTTAGGATGAACTAGTCTCTGTTTAAGGGTCTTGTTTGGTTTGAAATGTTCTGGGATTTTGTGTTTGAAGAAAATCCTCTTGAGTTTTTCCAGAGACTCCAGTCTCGCCTAGTCAGCCAGGCCAAGAATTCCCTTTAACGACTCTCCTTTCAGAGACAAAGACATGGCATTGCAGTCTAACAAAAGAAGCCGAACGACCCCCATTCCAAAGGGGCAGACCCGTTCATCCGTTTCTATTTGCATGTTTTCTAAACAAAAACCAGGCTTTGTTGGGCTACTGTATAAAGCCTAGAACTCTACGCTATTTACGACATTTTGAATTGAAAAAGCTTCCTGGATGGAAGAGAAACATCTTTAAACTTGGAAACAAAGTCCAGTGCATTGTTTTTTAACTTTTTTGGAATGACTGTGACCTGGATGACTGAGATTCTTCATCAGCGTCTTGATGCAGTCTAGTCTGATGACGGTGTGGCCTTTCCTCCTCTCTGGATTGGTCAGGTGTCCATCGCCGGCTCGGCTATCGCGTCTCTGCAGAAAGAGTTCTCCTCCTCCTCTTCTAGAAAGATCATCAAACCAGTCAAGTCTCCCAGTCCGTCTCTTAAAGCGGTTAAGACCAGCGAGACGCTGGGGTCCATCCCACCTCCGTTCAAAGACTCCACTGAGAAATCCCTCTCCGGCAGCCTCATACAGACGGGGGTGTCATACATGTTGGGCATGGAGAGGGAGTATGAGGACTGGAGAGCCAAGGTTGGTCCTGCCGCTCAGTGAGATGGATCTGAGCAGATCAAGAAAACCTGATGTGTAAAAGAAAGAATCAGCAGTTTGGTTCCAGACAGCAGCTTTAAAGGAAGCTTTAGATCTTTGCTGTAATCTGTCCCGTTCTGTCACTCCTCCGGAAACAAAGAGGTTTGGTTTCCAGTTAGCAGGGAGGGAAGGAGCCACCACAGCCAACGGAGCCGGTCCTCCTCTTAGCAGTCTGGTTTTCTTGATTTCTGTGAAAAATCCAACAATAAATGTTCTTCTAATAAAAACCTTAACAAGCGTCTTTCTCAGCTCTATTGACAACCTCATCCTCACAGCTCCAGCCCATCCAGCAGCTTCCTCATCTTTCTTCTTCTCTTCATCACCTCTTGGGTGGGAACATCCCACTTCGTGTCCTGCGTGCTGCTTTGTTGTGTTTATGTTTTAGAAATGGGAATGAGAGCCGCTGAGGTCTAATAGATCTGACTCTGTGACAGGTGCAAGAGGCAGCAGCTGTACCTGCAGGTGACGCTGTCGTCCCACCCACGCTGGTCTCTGTGAGTGCCTCCGTTCAGATCGTTCCCCATATGAGCAGCTTTTCAGTGAACGTCTCCTAAAGGTGCTGTGTTTTTTCCTGCAGGGCTTGAAGAACACGAACGTGACAGAGGGCGAGTCGGTGACCCTGGAATGCCAGATCAGCGGTCAGCCCGCCCCCGTCATCATGTGGTTCAGGGAGGACTACAAGATTGAGAGCTCCATTGACTTCCAGATCAGCTACACCGGCGGATTGGCTCGGCTGGTGATCCGCGAAGCCTTTGCAGAAGACAGCGGGCGCTTTACGTGCACCGCCACCAACGAGGCTGGAACCGTCAGCACCTCCTGCTACCTGCTGGTCCAGGGTCAGTTCACGCAGTGGCACCTTAGGTGGACATAGATGTGCTTACTGGTGGGGATGTCAGGGTTTTAAATGGGTTACCAAGTCTCCAAACTACAAGAGTCTCTTTGGGGAGTTAGGGATTAGGGTGATGGATTGAGGCCCTCCAACTTTGTCCGAACGGCAGCGGAAAGCTGCTAAACCTGTTTAGTCAGCGATTATTGGAATAAATCAGAACTTTTAAGCAAGTAAAATATCAATAAAGCTGCATTTGAGAAAATGTTTCTTATTTTGTGTGTTGAAAGCTGCTCTTCTGTTCTTCCTGCAGTGTCTGAGGACATCGAGAGCAGGCAGGAGACAGTTTCCGTTGACATTTCCCAGACACAGTAAGTAGGGAATCTTTTCTAGAGTTTGAGGAAATGAAGCGGTGTTTCTTTAAGCTGAAGTCATTCTGATTGTGATTCACAGAGTCACAGAAGAAGTTAAAGAAGAGACCATGATGGAGGCAGAGCCAGACGCTCCTGCTGCTGCTCCCTTCTTCATTAAGACACCAGGTGTTCAAAAGCTGGTGGAAGGAGGAAGCATCGTGTTTATTTGTCAGGTGGGCGGAAACCCCAAACCTCAAATCGTGTGGAAGAAGAATGGCGTGCCGCTCACCACCGGATACAGGTACTGAAAACAGCCAACCTTCAACCACTGAGGCTAAGATCTAGTTAAACCCTCAGGTATGACAGGCCTGAACCGCTGACATTATAGCCAGAGGCGGAGTCAGAACCTTTTTATAAGGGTGTCAGGGCAATAACCCATGTAGACTGAGGGGGGGCCGAAAGTAGATAGGCACCAGACCTCACAGTCAATCTACACTGTTCCAACAGGAAGATTAACAAGCAAAACATAAAACAAACTATACTTTCCTACAGCCTTTGTTAACAAATAGATGCATATATTTAAACATTTGCTGTCTAGATAAAAGTTATAATGGATAAAATTATTTCAGTTTTGGGCGAATATCTTTTCCATTGTCATTAACAACCTACTTTTATCAATAATTATTCTGCATAAAATTGATATTTACAAGTACTAATATCTAAATAAATTGATTATTTAATACGTTTTTATTAAAATAGTTATTTATGATTTGATTGAAGACTCCTAGATACCTTGCTGAAACACATGATTATGAAATTTGTACTCAAGTGCATCATTAACCACGTTTTTGTTAAGTAATTGTTATTATACGAAAAATTTTAATGGTTTGAATATTTCACTTGAGAGTATTAGTGCTGCCACCGTCTGTATTAGAGGGAAAAAGACGGTAGGGGTGACCAATGATTGGCTAATGATGGCCATGGCCACACCTGGCCCCCCATCTAGCTCCACCCCTGATTATAGCTAGCATTGCGCTAACTACAGGATAAAAACCTTTATCCTCAAATTAACCCAGAAGCAGGAGCAGAAAATACTTTATTTATATTTCTGTTTTATTTTCCTTCAAAAGCAAAGAAAAAAAGAAGCAAACATGAAATCTTATTTCCAGTTTAAGGAGCTTAAAAGACTCTAGAAACATTTAAGAATGATCTAATATATAATTTCTATAAAAGAAGGTAGGAAGTGAGAGTTTTAAAAAAGAATTCAAGAACTATTTCCACCATTTCTATGTTTTTTTGGGGTATAACCCAAGACCAAAAGTAGGCTGTTCCTCTAAAATATGACTAGAACCAACTTTGTCAAACAATTACAAAATTAAAAATATAAATAAATGAGATTACACTCTAACTGCAGTTTTTCATTATAAATTTAAACTATACATTTTATACAGCAGCACAACAAAGCCTTGTTATTGCCTAGAAAACATACAAATAGAAACAGACTAACAGGTCCACCCCTTTGGAATGGAAATCCATTTAATAAAAAAAGCTCAGTCGATTGTTATTAATATTCTTTTTTTTGGAATGACTATGACCTGGATGACTGAGAATCTTCACACCTTTTTACTTTTATACTTTAAGTAGTTTTAAAAATGGCACTTTTGCACTTTTTCTGGAGTAAAAAGCTTAAGTTTTTTCAAACAGTAGGATTACTTGAGTAATAAATATCAATAATTTTTAAACCTTCTTTAATGATGTAAACTTATTAGAAGCCACTGTCCATGTTTGTGTTCATTATAGGTACAAAGTTGCATACAAGAAGGAGACCGGGGAATGCAGGCTGGAGATCTCCATGACCTTTGCAGACGATGCTGGAGAGTATTCAGTGTTTGCTAAGAATCAGCTCGGAGAAGTTTCGGCCTCCACCAGCCTCCTGGAGGAAGGTATGTCCATCATCACGTCTAAAGAGTGAGACAAGCAGACGGACTGAGAGAAGGACGCTGGGCTTGGGTCTTAATGTTATGATGTTTTTGCTTGCAGAGGAATATGAAGCCTACATGAAGACCCAGGAAGTGGCCGCTCCGGTGCCGGAGCCCAAACCTGGAGACATTCCCTCTATCACAGTGGACACAATGACCACTGTTATTTCTGGACAGGTAGAAGCCACACCTTTCAGCAGCTAGGATAAACGTTAGCTACAGCTAATGATTGCACTCAAGCTAAAGGTATCCTATATTTTCTGATAATCTTGCAGGAATTCCATTTGTCAGCCATGGAGCTGAGAATAATTCAGGAGATCGAGCTCACCATCATGAAGATCACCTATAGAGAGATTGTAACCGAGGACGGGGAGCTGATGGTGACCGCTGCTGCCACTGAGGCGGCACAGCCGGCCTTCGACACGCCCGTCAAAAACTACAGAATCATGGAGGGAATGAGCGTCACCTTCCACTGCAAGATGTCTGGAATGCCGCTCCCCAAGGTGATGCGTCGTATTTTGGTGTTAGCAATGAAAAATAAAGGTATAATGTACACTTCCAATGACAAGTCACTGACTTCTGAACCTCCTTGCAGATTGCCTGGTTTAAAAACGGCCAGCGCATCAGACCTGGGGATCACTACCAGATGGAGGTTCTCCAGGATGGGCGAGCTAGCCTCCGCCTGTCGATGGTGCGACCAGAAGACGAAGGCGTGTATACTGCCTTCGCCACCAACATGAAAGGAAACGCTGTCTGCTCAGGGAAACTTTATGTGGAGTCGTCCGCGGCTGCTCCTCAGAGGTACACGCCGCAGCCTGCAGTACAGAGAATCAGGTACGGATTCACTCAAAGGATGTGCTTCAAATGTTGTCTAAGTCTATGTCTAAAAGATGTCCAATTACTAATGCTAATCATTCCAAAACCTGTTCCTCAGATCCACATCTCCTCGCTCTCTGAGCCGCTCTCCTGGGCGCTCGCCCAGCCGTTCACCCGGACGCTCTCCTGCTCGTCGACTCGATGAGACCGACGAGGCACAGCTGGAAAGACTTTACAAACCAGTATTTGTCATGAAACCTTCTGCTTGTAAATGTTCAGAGGGTCAAACTGCCAGATTCGACCTCAAAGTCGTTGGGCGACCTATGCCCGACACCTACTGGTTCCACAATGGTAAGTCTCACAACGAATCTCCATGAAAGGCGTTATCAAACAAACTTTGTCTGCTGCTAAACAGATTCTGTTTTTTTTTACTTCTCAGGACAACAGATCATCAGTGACCACACCCATAAGATCGTTGTTAAAGAGGATGGGACTCTGTCGCTGATCATTGTCCCGGCCATGCCTCACGACTCTGGAGAATGGACAGTGGTGGCCCAGAACAGAGCCGGGCGCTCATCGATCTCTGTCAATCTCACTGTGGATGGTAGGGTTCAACTCCTGTGTATCTCTGCTAGATGCCTCCTATGTCACCATGCTTTAGGAAACATGCTGATCTAAGCTTTCTGTCCTGTTCAGCTAAGGAAACCCTGGAGCGTCCACAGTTTACAGAGAAACTGAGGAACATCAGTGTGAAGGAAGGAACTCTGGTTGAACTGGCTGTTAAAGCCATTGGAAACCCACTGCCTGACATTGTCTGGCTGAAAAACAGTGACATCATCACCCCACACAAGCATCCAAACGTTAAGTAAGTCCCTTTAAAAAGTAAATCATTGGCTGTAACATGAGGTTTTTAGAAATCCACTGCGGTATGTGGATATTGTTGTATTAATACACCTTTATGAACAGTTCCTGTCTGTTTTTTTTTTTGTCCCTATTGTAGTGCTGAAACCGCCCCCTTAAAAATAAGCAATGATCTTCTAATAGCACCTGACTCTGGTCTAATTTTCATCCTCATTCTTCTTTATCTAAGCATAGCCTTCATTAACCTCCTGATTGGAGGAAATAAAATCCTGGCTCACCTCCACTTTCTTAAATACTGAGAAGACAGAAAACCTCCTAGTGGAAACCAAACCTACACTATCCAAAGCTGACAGTTTCTCCCTTTCACTTGATAACTCCATAATCCACCCCTCACCTCAGGTCAAGATGTCATTCTTGATAGATCCTACTCTTGTCCATAGTCTTGTCACTTCCTGCATCGATTACTGTAACTCTCTTCTTTTTGGTCTACAGCAAAAATCACTAAACAAGCTTCACGCCGTCCAAAACTCAGCAGATCGCATCATCTCTAGAACCCTTTTTTTCTATCACACCACCCCAGTCCTACAACAGCTCCATTGGCTCCCTGTCAATTTCAGAATTCAATTCAAAATCCTCTTACTTACTTTTAAAGTTATTCACAATCTGTCCCCTCCCTATCCCTCTGATTTACTTCAAATTTCTACTCCCTCTCTCATAACTCTCGCTTTGTTGTTCCTTCCAACTGTCCAGCACCATGGGGATCAGAGCTTTTTCTCTGACATCTGCAATACCAAGTCTTTATCCTTGTTCAAATCAAAACTAAAAACCCACCTTTTCAAGATTGCATTTTCACATGATTTTTTTTTTGTTCCTGTCCTGTGTGCAGTTTGTGCTGTTTCCTTTAACTATGACAATGTTGCTTTTACCTGTACAGTGTCCTTAAGTGTTTTTGAAAGGCACTTTAAATAAAATGTATTATTATTATTAATAGTGCATTTTGTTCTGTATTATGTATAGAATGGGGACTTTTAGCTGCCGGAAATCTTTAACTGCAAAACTGTCATGTTTTAGGATTGAAGGAACCAAAGGAGAAGCCAAATTCCAGATCCCATCAGCTGCCGGGTCAGACAGTGCCTGGTACACTGCCACAGCCATCAACAAGGCTGGAAGAGACACCACCCGCTGCAGAGTCAACGTGGAGGTGGAATACGTGGAGCCTGAGCCAGAGAGGAAACTCATAATTCCCAAAGGGACCTACAAAGCCAAAGAGATCACACCTCCAGAGCTGGAGCCTCTTCACCTGCGGTATGGTCAAGAGCAGTGGGAGGAAGGCGACCTCTACGACAAGGAGAAGCAACAGAAACCGGCATTCAAGAAGAAGCTCACATCAGTCCGCATGAAGCGCTTTGGTCCGGCGCATTTTGAGTGCAGGCTCACTCCCATCGGAGACCCCAACATGGTGGTGGAGTGGCTGCATGACGGGAAGCCTCTTGCTGCTGCTAACAGGCTGCGGATGGTCAACGAGTTTGGCTACTGCAGCCTGGACTACGAGGTCGCTTACGCCAGAGACAGCGGCGTGATCACCTGTAGAGCCACCAACAAGTTTGGAGTCGACCAGACCTCGGCTACCCTGATTGTCAAGGATGAGAAGGGCCTTGTTGAGGAATCCCAGCTCCCTGAGGGCAGGAGGGGAATTCAGCGCATGGATGAAATGGAAAGGCAAGCTCATGAAGGTGGCCCTTATGGAGTAACTGCTGAGGAGGAAACAGAGAAAATGAAACCAGAGATCGTCCTTCTCCCTGAACCTGTAAGGGTCATGGAGGGCGACATAGCCCGATTCCGCTGCCGAGTCACAGGATATCCAGCTCCGAAGGTCAACTGGTACCTCAATGGACAACTCATCCGCAAAAGCAAAAGATACCGACTTCGTTACGACGGTATCTACTACCTGGAGATCACAGAAATCAAATCCTATGATTCAGGAGAGGTGAAGGTTATAGCGGATAACAACCTGGGTTCAGCTGAACACACCGTGAAGCTGGAGATCCAGCAGAAGGAGGACTTCAGAACCCATCTGCGCCACGCTGCTGAGGCTAAAGCGGGTGAAGCTCCGTCCGAGACAGGACGAGTCTCATTTGAGGTGGTGAAGACCGAGCTATCATCCGAGGACTCCCAACAAAAGGAGGTGGTTAAGCTTAAGAAGGCCCACAGAATTGTCCATGAAAAAGCTGTGGAGGAGTCTGAGGAGCTGAGGAGCAAATTCAAGCGTAGGACAGAGGAAGGCTACTATGAGTCCATCACGGCTGTGGAGCTCAAGTCTCGCAAGAGAGATGATTCTTATGAAGATCTGCTAAGAAAGACGAAAGAGGAGCTACTACACCACGCAAAACAGAAGGAGGAGGCTGAGAGGAGGAAGGAGGAAGAGCGGCTGAAAGTTACAGCTAAACCTCTGAAACCAGAAAGGATCAAACTCTCGGCCAGCATGGAGGCTCCGAAGATCCTGGAGCGGATCAGCAGCCAGACCGTCGCTCTGGGGGATGAAGTCAAATTCAGAGTCAGAGTGGTGGGTAGACCAGACCCGGAGTGCCAGTGGTTCAAGAACGGCGTCCAGCTGGAGAAGTCCGAACGGATATACTGGTTCTGGCCTGAAGACCATGTGTGTGAACTGGTAATCAGGAATGTCACTGCCGAGGACTCGGCTAGCATCATGGTTAAAGCAAGCAGCACTGCTGGAGAGACATCAAGCCACGCTTTCCTGCTGGTTCAAGGTACACAACCAGAACCCTGAACCCTACAACACATAACTCCTTTGAAATCATGTTTCTAATAAAATCTCACATTTTTGCAGCCAAACAAGTCATCACTTTTACCCAGAAGCTGGAGGAGATCAATGCCAAGGAGAAGGACACTATGGCCACCTTTGAGTGTGAGACCAATGAGCCATTCGTTAAGGTCAAATGGCTCAAGAACAACATGGAGATCTTCTCAGGAGACAAATACAGGATGCACTCTGACAGAAAGGTCCACTTCCTGTCTGTGCTGATGCTTGAGGTGAAGGACAATGCAGAATACTCCTGCGTGGTGATAGATGACGAGAGCGTCCGAACCAGCGCCAACCTTAACGTTGAAGGTGGGTAAAAACGAGAACTTTATCAATGTTGTTTGATCATTGAACTCTTCTTATATTTAGTTGTAAATTAGTCATGAAAGCCGTCGTGTCTGAATTCCTTTCTGCATCCCGATGTGAACAGGAGCCCCTCTGGAGATGGTGAAGCAACTGGAGGACGCTGAGGTGCCAGAAACGTACTCTGGAGAGTTTGAATGCGTTGTGACGCGTGAAGACGCTGAAGGCAGCTGGTTCTTTGAAGGCAAGCTGCTCTCTCCCAGTAGTAAATACGTCATGATGTCTCGTCGTGGAAGACACAGTCTGTCTGTGAGAGACGTCAAGAAGGAAGACCAGGGCAAATACACCTTCAAAGTGGGAGAATTCACCACATCCGCCTCGCTGAAGATGAAGCGTAAGTTAAAGAATCTGTTTTGATTCAGGAATATATCTTGTCCATTCCTAATAATAAATGCTCTGTAGATGCGCTGAAGGTCCATTCCTGAACACTTTTATCTTTATTTTCAGTGCGTCCAGTGACCCTGGTTCAGCCTCTGACGGACCTAACGGTTTGTGAAGGTGACATTGCTCAGCTTGAGGTTAAGTTCTCGCAGGAAAACGTTGAAGGCAGCTGGAAAAAGAACGGACAGCCAGTCACGGCGTCTGACCGTGTACACATTGTGATTGACAAACTAGTCTACAAACTCCTGATTGAAGACGCCACCAAGGACGACTTTGGATCATATTCTTTCGAGGTTCCTGACCACGATATTAAAACCTCTGCAAAGCTGAACGTTCGGAGTATGTGCCCTAAATTCATTTATTGAAATAAAACTACTTTCTGTTTCTGAAAAAAAAATCTCTGAAAACCAAACCTCTTTTTGTTGCAGGCATCGGCATCCTCGTTCCTTTGAAGGACATCTCTGCCATTGAAGGCACCAAGGCTGTCCTAGAGGCCAAGATCTCTGCTCAGGACATTAGCTCGGTCAAATGGTACCACGATGACAAACTGTTGGTTCCCAGCGACCGAGTCAGTGTGGTGGCAAAGGGAGCCAAGCAGCGCCTGGTTTTCAGCAGGACCTACGCGTCTGACGAGGGCCGCTACAAAATGGTTGTTGGCCGAGTGGACACCAGCTGCAAGTTCTCCGTAGAGCGTAAGTTACCCACCTGGACTTTCCAAGTCTCTTTTCATTGGCTAAACATCTAACAGGTCAAAGCTGAAAAGTTATTTAGGTTCAGAAAAATAAATCTGAAAAGGTATTAGCAGTGATTAAGAACCTCATCATCTTTTGATTGGAACAATAAAAGAAAAATATTCACCACAGAATAAATTTGCTCAATATTTATCAAGAAAAGATGGGTTAGATAAGAAAGAATGGGAATTTTAGCTCAGACATGATGAGAAGCTCCTAAAATCACAAAATAAATTGCTAAAGTTCTTATTTAATCTGAATATCTTCTTGCTCACTAACGGGTTCCTTTCCTGCATCCTGCTTGAACAGCTGTGCAGATCCTGAAGCCGATGAACGACACGGAGTGCTCCGAGTCTGAGAATGTCACCTTCGAAGTCGAGGTTTCCCACCCCGGTATCGACCCTTATTGGACCTTCAAGGACCAGCCGCTGAAAGCCAGCGCCAAGCACAAGATGGAGACCAAGAATAAGCACCACACCCTGACCGTCATCAACGCCATGAAGGATGAGGAAGGCGAGTACATGTTCGCTGCGGGTGAGAAGACGTGCAGAGCTTCGCTCACCGTGACAGGTAAGCAGGATAAGACTTCTGTCAACCTGATATCATCCGTAATGCTCTTTACAATGACGATATGACCGCCCTGTGTCACCAGGTGGCGCTATCAAGAAGCCTTTGCGCGACCTGGTAGTAGCGGACTCCCAGACTGCAGTGCTGGAGTGTCAAGTAGCAAACCCATCTGCAGAGGGAAAGTGGCTGAAGGACGGACAGCCCGTGGACTTTAGCGACAACGTGCTGAGCGAGGTGGACGGCGCCGTCAGACGTCTGGTTATTGTTATCACGAAAGCCACCGACATTGGAGAGTACACGTACCAGGTGGCCACCTCCAAGACCACGGCCAATCTAAAGGTCGAAGGTAAACGGACAGAATTTAAAAACTTGTGTTGGTTTATC